GAGAGAGAGAGAGGTGATCTCGATCCATCCTTGTGCTTTTGCAAGATCGGTATTTTCATCTAATCTTGTAATCCTCATTGTTAAGTGATTTTTTTTCCCTCCTTAGCCGTGGGCATAGCCCTTTTAGGTGAACTACGTAAATCTTTGTATTCTTGTGATGTCTGTGTTTTTATGATTTATGTCTCATGTTCCTATTGTGGTTCATTCTCATTTTCTAGCCAGTGAATTACCCGATCCTGGTGGGATTTTGACACTAGGATTCTTGTTTCCGCATCTAAGAGGGTTGCTGAATCCTGACAAGGTTGTCTCAATATTTTGATATTGGAAACAAAAACGATTACAATTATTATGATGGTAATAAAATCCCTTGTGGAAGTTTATGGTCCTGGCTTTTAGGAAATTAGATATCCGCAAGTTTTGATGTTGAATAGTTGGAATGGGCTTTAAGAGCAAGGAAACTATGAAAGTTGCCAAGTTCCCTCTTGAGAATAAGTATTTGATTTCCCAAGATTTGGGAGAGTCTATTCCTGGTTGAATTGGCTTAGCTTATGTGGCTTTTTGAAAAAACTTACTGGTTATATACTGTATGCCTGTCGGAGGTTTATAGGTGGCCATTCCCTAGGTTAGGGGACTTGATTCTTGAATGGGGAGTATCATGTAGTGCAAGGAGTATTGTAAGGTGGATCCAATTGGATGTTGAAGTTTGTTGCAACAAAGAAGACTACTTTGAAACTCTGATAGTTTATTTCAAACTTAGCGTACATGTCTGAAAAACAATCAACTTTAAATGAAAACCCTATATAGTCCTTATTTATAGACTTTATTTGGATGCCTTAACTGTACTTCTAATGTTATTAGAACTTCCAATTAAAATTGAATCCATATTTGACACTTTTGCCCTTAAAAGATAAATTAAAATATATATGTCCTAAAGAAAACCCTAAAACAATACCCCAACTTCGGAAAGCCATAACGTTTCACTCCAGTGTCGCCCATTTTGGAAACGAATCAAAAGCCCTAAGATGGTGAAAGCCACTATACCAGTTTTGCCCATTGAACTAGGATGAAAAATGCCTCTAAAGGCCTGAACGTTGGCCTTCAAATTTGCTGCGTAATGTTCGCTTGCATCAATAGTTATCCAATGAAAAGTCTTATGGCATGAAATTGTTGACCATAATGTATGCGTATACATTAGTGTATCAAATCATAACTAGTGCTAATTTTGTTAATTATAGCACAAAGTAGTTTTTGACCATTTTCTACCTCCTACTTATTCTTATAATCAAACATAACATAGAGTGGGGGTTTTGGGTGCTGTGTACAACTCACCAAAGCGCTCTACTTTTTTTTTTGGGTATGTAAATGGTAAGTCAGTGGGGATTTTTGGGCCCCTATCCTTTGGTGAGAATGGAGTCAAATACCTCATCATGGGGCCCAGCAATAATACTGTGAAGGACCCATACCATTCTCGAATCAAAGCGCTCTACTTGACATATGGGCAAAACGGCTTTTACATAGTTTCTAAAAGAGGTGATTACCATATTAGTGGGATCGACTTGTTGAGTAAGCCCCGCTTGAGACACCAAATGATGTGGACCTAGAATATAACTCACGCTATCTGCGACTTAAGAATCATCCAAACACACAAGATAACTACTTTTTCAAACCATAACCATTCTGATCTTACATCTTAATTTTTAATGCCTAGCGGTTTTGGTTTTAGATGTCATATCAGGTAGAAACTCTAGATATGGATATTAAAGTGAAATTTATTAGGGATTTTTAGTGTAAATATTTGTCTTGACTTTAGATTTGGATTTTTCGGTGAAAATCAGCCATATTTGAATTATCGGGTTCTGTCAAAGAGTTCATGCGCGCAACATTGTGTTAGTATCAAACCTCAGGACTTCTTTTCAGCCTCTCATTATGTGACTTTTAGGTGTTTTGATGCGGCGCTAAGTGGTTGAAAAGATTATATGGAAAATTTATT